GTTCTATAGTTATTAGAGTCTTTAAGTTGTCCTTCCGCTTCTTTAATATAGTCTTCCTTGTTTAAAATTGTTGTGTTACCGCCCTTGTCAGCTCTCTGGATGATAATGCCGTCGTTGTTTTTAAGGTTGGTGATAGATCGGCGTTCGGGTTTTGTAAGGTTGTTTTCAGGTTTCTTGGTTGAGCATTCATTTATGAAAGTATCTAGATGAGACTTGGCCTTGCTAACGAATGAATCGATGTAAACGTTTTTTCCAGGTGGGGGTGTCCAACGTTTATACGTCAGTTTGTTGCGCTTTGCAGATGTAGGCGTACTGTCTGTTTTGTCTTTGATGTGTTCTTTGAGTCTTATTCTGCGAGTGAAGTCATTGAAATCACAGCAAAGGTCTACAGGGTCAAGCTTCCGTGTGGGACAAAATGACAGGCCTTTGGATAAGAGCGACTGTTCGCTGTTTGAGAGCTCATGGTTGGATAGATTGACCACAATATTGTTATTGGGCCCATTATGATTGCTCTGAGATGTGTATAAGAGACAGGGGCATAATCATGTTTTAATATTTTAGATAGTTTGTCCTAGTCCTTTCAATAGTTGATCTTTGGCTACAATATTTTGAAGTTTATTGTGCTTGCGTTTAAAGTTCTGGTATAGGTGGCGCCGGTAAGAGCTGTTTAAGAATCGAGAAACACCAACATACTTGCAGGGATCATTCAAAGTTGCCTTCAGGTTGGTTTCCGATGCTTTGATTTGAGTGCTGATACTGGCCTGTTTGGAATAGGCCGTCCTGAGTACGAGGTTACGAATCTTAGAAGATGCCTGAGCACACACTCTGTTAGCTATAGCTAGACAGGACTGGTCGGTGGTCGTATTTTAAAGTGGGTTCTGGATTCTTAGTCCGTTTGGTTCAATATCTAGTCTCTTGCATTGTGTCAAGAAGACGATATCCGATCTGGCATTTGCGAGTTTATGGAGAAGATGTTCATGTTTACGTCTTGCGTGGAGATTAACCGTGTCAAGTCGGGGTCCAAAATACATGAAGAAGGCGTGTCCACGTGTGTTTCGAAACATATGTAGAATATAATATAACGTAACAGTAAAGAAACTCAAATACGTAAGATGTTGACTTTAGAAACACTAAAATTTATTAGGCGAATATTTCGGCTACTCCTGTAGTCTTTGTCAACGTTTACATGGCAATATAACTACACAGAGATAGCACTCAATGTTTCTCAATATTAACTGAACCCTTGCCCAATGATCTATGTGTAAAACACTAATATAATGAAATAATCGAGGCTGAAATATTGTATTTTAAACTGGGTAGCAAGCCGTGAATGAACGTGATCGATAAGGCCGGCTGTAAAAAAATAATAGCAGGCGCGTGTATCAGTGGTGGTAGGCCTCATGACGCGGACAAAAATTGATAAAATGCTTACTCTATTTCAAACAAAAATAATATTTATAGCACCTTCTCGATATAATTTATTACATTGGAAAATGAACGCAGTGTCTCATCAATACACATTGCCCTACAGATCGCAGTCGGTAGGTCGCAGAGAGCGAATTGGATTTGTCGTACGACGCAGGGAGTGCCCGGTATTATTCTTTCTTAAATAATTATAAAAATTACAATTTTTCATGGGACCTCATTTATATAAAATGTGTTTATTTTGTTAATAATGTGTTAATCAGTTTATTATGTACGGTACGGTATGTATTTCTATTTATTGCACAGGATTTACTGATTATTTTTGGAATTAGAGGTTTATAAAAGGATACCGTTGTGTGATTAATCCTGGTGCTTTCTAAGACGGAGTCGACGTTAAGGTAAATAAAACCGAAAATAAAAAAAATTGTTCCAAAGGCATAATTGCATACATTTTTATATCATTTGAAACATCTTGAATATATTATACTGTGTATGATGATGATCAGGCATACAACTTTCAAGAAAATACAAAAGCAGCATGGTGTCCCTGTGCATTTTGCAGACGTATTTGTGACATAGTTTCATGTACATTGGTACAAACCAAAGTTGTCAGTTATTTCATTTGGAAATAGTGTCAGTGTAATCTTAGGTAAGCAGTGACGTGATTAACAAAAGCAAGAATTGAGTCCAATGAAACTGTTTATCATCTTGATACCTTCCGACGAAAATTGACCCTACTGGCGTCTGAATTGAACTTTATTAGAACACTTTTGTATCAGTGGCACACGCCATCTGGTGGTGCATACAAATAACAAGCAACATTTCACAAAATACAAAGAAAAGATAAAAAAAAAAACAATCAAGTATGAAAAATACGAATCAAAATGATAGAAAGTAAACATTAATTAGTACGATGGAAGGAATATTCCATGACTAAGAGATGTGCTGCCCAAATCTACAAGGCGGAGCCTAGCCGAATGGAGCAGTCTAAGTTTCAGAGAATTAGCCACGGCGTCCCTACCGATCGATGTAACGTTACGTTATGTGGGTGTTTTATAGATTATTAAGAATGGTAATATCACTGAAAAAATAAATAAAATGACAGTTGAATGACCAACAAAGACATCTGAAGACAATAGTTCGTCATTAGAAGTTATTTAATATAGCTTTATGATTCGGAAAATTAATCTCAAAATCGACTTGCCGTCCCCGGTGTTGTCAGTGACGTCGTACGATTTGTGTGCGAATTTTACAAATTAACCCCTAAGTAAAAAAGAGTTGAGCCATGTAGTACCTTGTAAATCAACCCAGAAACCCGTAGTTTTTTTATTGTTTATTGGTAGCGTCCCTTCGCTAACAAAAAATAGTTTTTTGGCAGTTGCGTCGTAAGGATTAATGTATAAAATATAACACCTGCAGTAGCGGTGCCCATAATGCAATAGCAGTGCCCATCTAAGGATTAATATATAAGATATAACAACACCTGCAGTAGCGGTGCCTGTAATGCAATAGCGGTGCCCATCTAAGGATTGTATAAAATATATACTAGTCCAATGAAACTGTTTATCATCTTGTTACCTTCCGAGGAAAATTGATCCTACTGGCGTCACCACGGCGTCCCCACCGATCGATCTAACGTGACGTTTATGTGGGTGTTTTATAGATTTTTGAGAATGGTAATATCACCAAAAATTACATAAAATGAGTTGAGTGACCAACAAAGACAACTGAAGACAATAGTTTGTCACTATAAGTTATTTAGTATAACTTTATTCGGAAAATTCATATCGAAATCTAGTTGCCGTCCCTGGGGTTGTCAGTGTCGTCGTATGATTTGTGTGCGATTTTTACCAATTAACCCCTAAGTAAAAAATAATTGAGCCATGTGGTACCTTGCAAATTAACCTAGAAACCTGGTAGTTTGTTGATTGTTTATTGGTAGCGTCCCTTCGCTGCCAAAAATAGTTTTTTTAGTTGCGTCCCTAGTGACGTCGTGAGGGCATGGTGAAGGCTGGTTCGATTTGGTGGCACATCGATTGAGTATTTTCATTCATCTGGCCGTGTAAGTCAGTAGCGTATCTAAATGACTTGAAATGGGGTGGTGGGAGCTGATGGGGGCGCGAAGGTGAAGTGGGAGGCAGTAGTATTATAGGCACCACAACTGCAGGTATTGTTATATTTTATATATTAATCCTTAGATGGGCACCGCTATTGCGTTAATGGCACCACTACTGCAGGTGTTGTTATATTTTATATATTTAATCTTAGATGGGCACCACTACCGCAGTTATGGGCACCGCTGCTGCAGGTGTTGTTATATCTTATATATTAATCCTCAGATGGGCACCGCTATTGCATTACAGGCACCGCTACTGCAGGTGTTGTTATATTTTATATATTAATCCTTAGATGGGCACCGCTACTGCAGGTGTTGTTATGACCACCCTAAAATTAATATGGATATGAACAATATGAAATAATTGAGACATACAGTGCTAGGCTGAAATGAACATAAAATTGCTATGGCTACTTAATTATTCATGAACCTGCAATAGTGTCGCCCATATAACGCTTACCTATCAGCGCCGGGTAGTTGGCTCAATATTTTATACTGTACTGCCCTCTTTCGTTGAATTATGGATTAAAGCGACAATTCAAGAAATGTAATTACGTTTCGGCAGATTTTGAGTATTTGAACGAACATTTCTCTATTCTACGTCAAGTTGTACATATGGTGCATATCATATTGAACAACTACGTGGAGTGTTAACGGGAAAAAAAATCTCCCAGTCACATCCATTGATTATCATTAATACCAGAAGTAGACATATCATTATGCCTACCTTTCTTGTTTTTTTTCAATATGCGCCTGAGACGTCATTTTGGCAAAAATTAATTTTAAAAAATGCCTGAAGCACAGATACGCTCTTGTTAAATATTTATTGCTATTAAAATATAACGGAAGAGCCAAAAATGCATGCGCTGGAAACCTGCTATATTACGTTTTAATTAATTATTAGTATTCCATAATGCAATTGCGGCGTGCCATAGGCTATCAAGGATTCGTGATTATAATTATTCTCTGTGCAAAAAAATCGTTAATCGGATAGTGCTATACACAGCGTAAAGTATGCGCTACAAAGCAACAAGGAATTCTCGTTTAGCTTGTTTAATGTAGCCTTTGTGATGTTTACGTTCTTCTAGCATTAAGGCTTCAATTTGACGGAAATGGCATCATGCAGAAGTGTTGTGGAGATATAGTAATTTGTGTTCTATCGACAATTAAACTTCAACGTTGAAATGTATGTACTGTATATTCAAAATAGTATATTGTTATGTCATTTTAGGTAAATACAGTATTTAAATTGATATTTTCATTAACTAAGATAATTCGGAAACCTCCATGGTCTTAAAAATTTTATGTTTACATAGGCCTATACATTCTTCGAGTTGGCTGCCGCTGATAAGTGATAATGCTTAGCGTAAGTATAGATACAGCAGTGACTGTACGTATACGCCTTGTGTACACAATTGAGTATAACTGTAACATTGAAATGTATATGTCAGTGTTATATTGGTACAATGGCATTATGCTACTAAAAAGCTATTCAATATTTTGACTTAATATTCAAGAAAAGGGATGTGAGCCTATATAATTATGAGGGAATTATGAATTTTCCCATCTGTATAATAGGCCTCAGTAGGCCTACGAATTAGGCCTATCAATAGGCTATTAATTTTCGTATGAATTGATTAATTACTGTTCATTTAAATGAGAAATTTAAGGTCTTTAAATTATTATGATTACCATTTGTTTTTTTGTATCTGTAATTTAGATCGACTGAAATTACGTTGGTGTGATGGTCTGTGACGTAAGCCGACTCTTTGAACTGCCTCCGAGTATCTCAACACCTCGATTCATGTCACCTGAGCATCAATTCCATACCCTGATTAAAATTTTATACTGCGCTCACAAGTATTAAGATGGCGACTGTAGATCATCGAATACTACGTAACATTTCGCTTGATTCTACGAATGTTGACGAAGAGGACGAGATGATTCTTAACAACCACGTCTGCACGCACGTACCTAAGGATAGATTTAATAGCGTGTACGCATCGCTCGTGCTTGCTGGCATTGGGTTTCTTCTACCATACAACAGTTTCATAACCGCTGTTGACTATTTTCACTCCCAATACCCCGGTAGTACGATCGTGTTCGATATGAGTTTGACGTATATCGTGATTGCGTTTGCCGCGGTTCTTTTGAATAACTTTCTCGTGGAGACGCTTAGTTTCACGTTCCGTATATCATTTGGCTATGTTGTTGCTTTCTTTTCGTTAATCATGATAGCGATATTTGAAATTGGTTTGAGTATGTTTTCAGACGGAACAAGCTATGTCATTGTCTTGATAGCCGTTGCCATAGTTTCATTCGGGTGTACAGGTAAGATGACGCTTTTGTTTTGTTTGGTGACAGAAACAATGATGGTGATGATAATGATGACGAGGAGGAAGAAGACGATGATATTTATTATGATGGTTCTGATGGGTAAAGCATGCTGACCTCCCAGGCTCCAACGTATGAAGATGATGATGACGATGATGGTGATGATAACGAGATCGAGGATGAAGAGGCGTAGGCCTATGATGATGGAGATGGATGATGATGAAGATGTAATACACTGATAATAATGCGAAGGCGGTGGATGATGAAGAGAATGGAGGATGAGGATTATGTTAATGAATGGTTACATGTAGATGATGATGGTAACGATGAAGATATAATATGATAATGATCATAAGGATGATTATCATAATAAATAATGATGATGACGATGATGATAATGATGATGGTTCCATGTCAATGATGACGATGTTGAAACTTGAAAATCGTTGGTAAATAATAAGGCCGCAAAAATATAGCAAAATACCTTTTCAATTAATTTAATTTTACATAGGCTTATTAAGTTGATGAACATAAGTGATTACGCAAGTTGCATTGATTCAACGTGGCGCAGTAGGCGTACCGGTATCACTAGAGTGATTATGTGTGACGAACTTTGTAATAATGCGGGGTTATTTTATATATCATAAATATATTTAATTTAGAAGTACTATATTTTAAATATCAACAGTTCAACAATCAAGTTACTATGGCTATGCAGGGATGTTGCCAAGGAAATATACACAAGCTGTTATGACGGGAGAGAGTAAGTTAATTGGTCCTAATTGCTTATTATCATAGGCCTATTATTTATTTCCGCAGTGACAGTTTGCAAATACAGAAAGATATGTTTCTCTCTTTCTCTCTCTGGTGTCTCAATTCATCGTTGTCGCCGCTGGTTACGTATGTTCGTATATATGAATGGTATACATTAATAAATATTAAATCCCTAATTAAAAATCTAAAATATCAACAAATAAAGTTTGAAATATTGGATCATGATGGCTTGTATCACTTTTTTCGGAGTTTGTTTCGACCGTTTTCGGAGTTGGAGGAGTACGGTAGCACACCATTTATTGGAGGGGCACATCATTTGCGGTGATAGTAGTTTCTGTACAACTGTTTCCCTCTCCCCAGCCTTATTGTTATATTGTTTGCTGGAAGGAATATCAGTTTAAAAAAAAGCCTTATGTCAAAATTATCGGTGAATCCCATACCATAATAGCTCATTTAGAAATATAACGGAGATTTAGTGCTTACATTTAAAAAAAAAAAATTACAGTATACCTTGTGTCTATGTCATGGCATGATCAATAATACTAAAGCAATGTACATCAATAGCAATTATCGTTGAAGATATAACGTTTCAATCAAATTGTTGTTGCAGGTGCAGCTGGTCTGTTAACGTCATTGATTCGGATTATCACTAAGCTTGTTCTACACAACGAGCGTATAAACACTTTACTATTCTTTATATTTTCTTCTATTGTTATTCTTGTGTGTTTTGTTACGTACCACACGAGTCGCAATAGTGATTTCGTGCGATACCATGTTGCTATATGTTCGAAAGACGCGCGTTCGACGGCGGATGGTTTTCAAGTTATGACAGAAGAAGAGGTAAGCTTAGCACGACAGACTGAAATGTAATACCGTATTTAACTGTAAAAGCATTTTTTCGTTAAATTTATGTTACCATAAACTATAATATGTAAGTTATGTAAGTGGCTGTGAATGAAGTGAGTTGCACAAAAAGAACCACTCGTAAAGGACTTCGCGTCGTGTAGGCCTTACCGGTACCTTGTCGTACGACGCAGTGAGTGCCCGGCATCTGTGCGTCGTACGACCGTCGGCCGACCAACCTTACTTCACCCCATGAGCGTTAGACGACACGACGCCGTATGCTGATTGTCTGCACTCTGAACGGATCGCCGTTGAAAACGATCCGTTGCCCGCGCGTTGGCGTAACTCGTTCTCCATAGGATTACGTCGGCCCGACGACCGTGGCTTTGACACTATAATCACATCAGAACTGGGGTCTGGGCAAAGTATGTTGCAATAAGGTCGTCGAGGGTCATGTTCATAACTTTGACCTGCGATTCCAAATCGAAAAAGTCGGGGACAGGTTTATCACCAGTAGCGCATGGTAGCACCACCAGTCACGGGGGATCGTGGGTCACGCCATCGAACGATTGGTCGTGCAACTTTAGTCATGCCAGCTCACGATTAAATACTGCTACAAGTTACGCACTCCCCGAGACCAGAGCGGCTTCTGGGGTTCGATCCACTCCAATTACGAACCTGAAGAGGAAATATCTGCTGAGCCCTCGCTGTTTTCATGTGGTTCAACTGACGTGTCCTGGGAGGGTTCATCAGGCGTTGCCGTTACCTGTTGACGTCTCAGATTCTGGATCTGGGTCTCTTCAAAATGCCGGCCTTTTTACCCTTCTTGGGTGGGGGGGGGGCATAGTTTGAATATGAAGATGTAGATTTACAGTTGAAAACTTCGACAAACTTTTAAAGAGTAGGCCTAATTTATTTTGTGTGTTTAGTGACAACTGATACCGAGGCACGATCACAAAGTGATGGGGTCAGCGATCGCGCCACTGGAGTGATTAGTTGCGATTATCGTGTGATCGGTCGTTGATATCACCACCAAAAGCCGACAACCTACTTATTGATATGATCGATGTTTTAAGTCATTGGCTATAATCGGACGACGTGCCATCGATCAAGCCTGGTTTACATAAAAATCGCTACACGCTATCGATGTCTCTTTTGGCGACGCTGATTGGTCAGTTGAATAAGGGAGCGTTCCCGATTGCGTCGGGTACGGGACAGCTACGTAGTGCAAGGACTACGCTGTACGCTGTAGCGACTGTGTAGCGATTCTATGGAAATAAGGCTTCACATGGCCATTAATGAGATCATAGCCAACTTTGCCGATTGGACATTACCGGTGGTTATTATTGAATGTTATCAAGTTAAGCTGATCGTTGTGTAGTGAGTGTAAGGTTAAGCATTAAGGTACGGATACTCACTAAGTTGTTTTACTGTTTGTGAACGTGCGTAAAAAACATTTAAATACCGGGCACACAGTTTTCAAAACTCCAACCGCTGACTTCGTCGCTGTTTACATAACAAAATATTTATTTCTCTAATTTACTTTATAGCAATTGGTAAATGATGTGGTGACGGACGGAGGGACGATGATCAATGCTGTTGGTGGTGACGAAAATGGCGATGAAGGACTGGACGTCGATGGTAGTCGATATCGCTACGTGAAATTCAACGGGCAAAACAGCTTCGAATTGGAGTACGAACAACCAGCATCACACAACACCAAGTGCAATAGTATCAAAAGTAAACAAAAAACTCTGTGATAGTATTGACCTTTTACGAGACTTTAATTGCATTAGAAGAATTTTATTAATATTGATAGTAATAATAAACTATATTAATCTATTGATCATAATTATATAAATGTGATAGGAATAATAATGATAATAAATTTATACCTTATTCCTTAATAAAGCCACCATTTTTCGATTATTGCGTTCGAATCGAATCCCAAGTACGGTATACAATACATTTTATCGATAAAATTCATTTTATAGAATTATTGTTTTAATATTACTCTCTCCATTTAAGGACCACGTCTTATCATCTGTGGTTCTTATGGTATTAGAAAATTGTTATCATAGAGATTAAAGACAGGTAGCATTTTTTTCAATATTATTTCAAAAATAATAATTACTATCATGGGCCCTCATTAATGGCATGGGTCCCCTAATAATAGACCTCTCCAGATTGACATCCCCCTCCCCCCCAAAAAAAGTAATTGCGCCCCTGGCACCGTATAGCGCTTCGCGGTCGTAACTGGGGACCACACCAACATTGCCCCTGTTATTACAGTTTCCCCTCTTGGCGGCCCTGAATACAGCAAATGCAACATACAGTACATTAAAATATCAAATAGGCATAATATCATTATTATCACGAAATATTGTTGTAGTCACGCTATTGTTAATAGGCCTGTTATTGTATATTATTTTATTCTAAATCTCTTCTTAAATCAAAGTATTATACATCAGTTATTATTCATGTTAATTTTGTATCTCTAGTGAGCATCATGAAACGCTATCGCCTGGCGAAGAGCGTGTGGCCGTACATGCTATCGATTGCGCTCGCCTATTTCGTCACCTTGTGCTTGTTCCCTGGAATTGAGTCTGAAGTGATAAATTGCTCTCTTGGTGATTGGATGCCGATAATAATTATGGCGATATTCAACGCCACCGACCTCATCGGCAAGGTAACAATATTTAATTGTATTCTGCATCTGCAACACAATAAGCAATTAAAATGTTACTTCTAATCAGTGTCGGATTCAGAGATGGTTAAAGGGACAGTCACTTGGCCCTCCCCACCCCAACCCTTCCCTCCGCTGTAGCTCAAAAAAGCTTTAATTTGTCAAAATATTTATGTAAAAAATTGTAATGGCTCGCTCACTCTAGAGGGTGCCGGGTCGTCACATGATGATTTTGATAATTCACTATAGCTTACCCTGCAATTCGATACCAGCTTTGGGACCTGAAAATTTAGGGTGGTCTGGGGTTTGGTCTCCATTTAGAGTTAGATTTGTATTTTTAAGATTGTGATTTGGTTCTTTTGAAAAGTGGTCTTGAATTCGAGTGTCTCAGAGTTAGAGGGGTGTCGAATCGTGTGAACTATAGGCCCTAATAATAATAATATTCGTTTCTAGTGATCAAAAAAGAAACTACGTTTTCGCGATTCTCATTTACTTTTCGATCGTGACTGCTGCTCTGGCCATCATTTTTGTCGTCCCACCCACTTCCCACATGATTTACACAATTATTTTTTTTCTGAACGTCGATCTATATGAATCTGTATTTATTCTTTCAAATCATGAGTCTTTGATATGATTTAGTTTAGTTGTAAGATTTTCGGTATGAACTGGTATTGCGTTTAATTCCTTCTCTATTTACGAATATCCGTCTGACACGCCACTGAATACTGGTGAACAGTTTAGTCCTTCCATTTTCATCAATATACGCCTTAGCCCAAACATAATTGTACCGTTCTGTTAAGGCTCCGATCCATAGAATTCCAAATCGACAGCGTAAAACATAGGCCCACGTAAACGAGTGTTCGTGGGACATGCGCGTTTTCCTGTCCTGTTCTTATTGGTGTTGAGCATGACTGAGACTCGGGAAAGATCCATCCAATCATAATACTTATATTCACAAACCAATATTTAATGGTTATTAAAGCAATAGTGCGAAACTTCTTTTTAAGTCTGTTAAAAAAAATAAAATAAAAGAAATTAATACCAACAAAACAAAATATCACTTAACAATACCGTACACAAAGGAATGATTTAATGTTTTTATTCTTATTGTGTCATTTAGCTACTGGCTGCAATACCTTACGCTTGGAAACCGAAGTACCTTCTAATTGCCGCAAGCTCACGTGCTGTGTTGATACCCCTGATGATACTTTGTGTGATCCCCAGAAGAGCGCCAACTCTTTCGAGTTCCGTGTGGGCTATGATATTTTCAGCACTTCTGGGCGTGACCAACGGGTATTTTGGCAGCCTACCAATGATAATTGCTCCTACTACAGTTCCAGATGAAAAGCGCGAACTCACAGGTAAATATGGTGTTTTCGCCACTTTACGAAAACGATAAAGAATACGAATGCGTCATCTTCATAATTGTCATTTGTGCCGCGCCTAAAACATATTTGAAAATACATAAACGAGCTGAATGTAATCATAGATTGTTGTGAAAGGTGGTACGTATTGATGGCTTGTGAGAGATACGCTGCTGTAGTGAACGAATTAACTAAATATTTGATGACTTAGCAGTATTTGTTTTCGTTTTGTAAGCTTGCGAAACCTCCCAAATGATAGGCCTACTCTTTTATCATCCAACTAGACTAAGAAGTTAATTTTGTATTTTATTTTCTAATTATTTCCGTATTGTATTTTTTATCTTAAATTATTATCGTCTCATCATCGTTAAACTTCGTAATTAGGAGAATTGTCGCGTTATTTTTATTATTAGGGAGTTTTTGCAAACTTACGAAAACGATAACAAATACGGTTACGTCATCATTTTTTTTTTTAGAATTTTCCTCTTTGCCTACAGTAGCATATTTGTCAAAATGTACATGATTTATTTTTGCATGAATCAAGGATCATATTGAGCTCCTGAGCATATTGTAAAGAAAGTTTTTTGGCACGAATGACGATAATGATAATGACGTAATCGTATTCGTTATCGTTTTCGTAAGGTTGTGAATTTGCCCTATTATCATCGTCGTACTCGCCGTCGTCTTCATTTTTTTTCTCTAAAATTCGTTATCGTTTTCGTCATTTTTTTTCTCAAAATATTTACTTGGATAAACTAGTTGGCCAAAAGTAACATTGAAAACTAAAATTAACCATTGCATATTTATCTTGGTACGTCCATAAACATAAAGTGCGCTGTGTACATCATTTCTATTTGATTATAATATTATTATAACATTGATGTTAATGTATTTTCTTATAGGTAATATAATGACCATCTCCTATAATGTTGGACTGACCAGTGGATCTGCTTTTGCGTATTTCTTCCGAGACCTCATTGGTCCAGCTGTTAATTTATGCACATCTACGTATCTAATTAAGAAACTACCTGTGTGAGAGTATAGACTACTGTATAATGCGCTGTCATCACAATCAAAGTTGTTTGAGTGTTTGATATCTATCCGAACACTTTCCCTTTTTTAGTGGTATGGGATAAATGGACTGGATAAAAGAATGAGAAAGTGTTACTACTGTATATAAATTAACCATTTTGATGGTATGTGCAATAGTTCTTCCTTCCTGTTTGATGGTAAATGCCATTACCATCATTCATGTAGTTCATGAGGTGATAGGTTAAAATGCCACTTATAAATTTGCCGCATGTGTAATTAAGGCTCGGCCTAATAAGGTTATATCGGATGCTATTTTTTATTTTTACCGTCAATTTCTTCTCCCGGTACCAAATGATGGACTTATATGTACCTCCTAAAGGTGCCACGCACAACTGGACTTGAAAAAAGCCATTTTGTGCAACAGTATGGTAATGCTCAGAGCTTTCAGTTGAAAGGCTGTTGGTTCGAGACCAAATACTAGTCACATTCCTCGTGCCCTTGAACTAGCTGGCAACACTTCTTTTTTCCCCCACGGAGGATTAAGTTTCCTCAGCTTAATGGTTTTCTTCCCTTCACCCACTAGTATAAATGGGTGCCTGGTAAGCAGGTGAATGATTCAAATGAATTTGGTAGTGCTGATTACAGACATGACGATGTGTGATTCCTAATCCAATGATCAGAAAAACAAGGCGCCTTCAGCATTTGATGTGTCATTAGTAAATTGAATCAACTTTAAAATTGCTATATGATTAATTTTTTGGTTACAGTATGTAGCTTAGACTGACGTCACGCAGCTAAAGGGGTAAATTGTAATGGCCTATAAAGCATGATTTTCATACAATCGCTTCACGCTATTGCCGACAGCTTTTGGTGATTGTGAATGGTCGGTTGAATCGGCCAGCTTTAGATTGCGTGTGGGACTACTACGCGCAGTACAACAATTGTACTGAAAACGTTGTAGCGACAGTGTAGCGATTGTATGGAAACAGGATGGAAACCAAGTATAACTTATTAAGAAATTGGCAAAAACGATTTTAAAGTTGATAAACCGATCCATTCAAAGTAATTAAGCTTCCTCTGCAGAAACAATACCGGGGGATTCAGTAGGATCCTTACGCATCATCTTCTTCAAAATATAATATTGAAATTAGTCGTACAACATTTTGTTTTCATCACAATCTACTGTAAACACTTTGCACCATCGTACATGGGCCTGACATGCAGCAAGGGGCCCCTAAAAGGAGGCCCCCAGAGAAATGACCTCGCCAATAGACAGCGCCCTTTTTTCTAATTAGATTTGTCTATAAATCCTATATAAAGTATAAATAAAAATAAACCTCCCAGAATAATATGTGGACTGTTTTATGTGGACATATTGTATGTAATATGTATATCTGGTAAAAATGTACGCCTAATAGATATTTAGCCATATCAAAGTCAGGAAAATATTTATGAAAAATGTGTGTTTTCAAGATGTACAGTTGACAGCACCTCCCTGCTAACATAATATACTTGTAAAAGCTACTCCCAGTGGTAAAATTAAACCTGTACTAAAATTTTAGTATTCATTGTTTCCATAATATGTGATGGTAATTGTCAATTTAGTCAACACAAAATGAAAGAGAAAAAAACCTCTAATAATAATTTAAACTTTAATAGAGTAACTTTTTAACATTTGAATTGCACTTAATTTTTAATTGCACAACTTTCCCTATGATGCAGGTATAATAATAAAAATATTAGTAAAATGAATACAGTAAAAATAATACAAATTAAAAATATTAAATTAAAAAAAAGAAGATCAAAGACATGGTGTATATATTTAGGAGACTTAAGGCATCAAAAAAGAAAATGAGATGTTACTGCATAGTTAAAATCAAATTACACAATCATGTACAATATTAAGTAATAAAATAATAATGTGAAATGCTTAATTTAAATATAATCATAAAGTTGGGTCATTGAATAAATACCTATTCCTTGAACTGACTAAAAGAATACATGAAAACAATGTCAATCTTAAAGATTAAATATATTTCTCTTTGTTTCACTTTAAAAATGTAAACATTTTTCTAGATAAGAGTCGATAAAGAATATTTACTTCTAGTTTCATAAAATATTTAGGTAAAATGACCAAGGATTGCCAAAAGCAAATTAATTAGTTTCTTACTATTAAGTGGTGATTCTTAAAGCCAGCACACACAATGCCTATAGTTTAGTTCCATACAATCGCTACACACTATCGCTGACTGCTTTCGGTGATGCTAATCGGTTGGTCAAATCGGGAAGCATTCCCGATTGCATCAGGAACTGCTACAGTATGCATTACAACGATTGCACTGAAAGCACTGTAGCGACAGTGTAGCGATTTTTCAGGAAACCAGGCAATGACAGTCCGCTCAGATTCCCCATGAAAATTAGGCACGGATGGATTCGTTGGCAGACAGTTGGCTGATGAAATGTGTGCTTGGGCTTAAGTCATACAACAATGCAGATACAGTTTGACCTGAAAATTTGGATTGGTCTTATGTTTGTTTCCCACTTAAAGGGTTAGATTTGTGTTAAAAGATTGAAGATTGTTAGATGGTTCTTTCTTTAAAAAAAGTGGTCTCGAATTTGAGTTTCTTGAAGTAAGAGGATTTTCGAAATAGGGTGTCTTGAAATAAGAAGGATAAAAAATTATAGTGTGCTCTGTACTTATATATTAAATAGTATGTATTTTAAAGTGAACATAATTAAAATGCTGGCATAAATCTTATGTTAACTTAAATCAATATATTTTATATGTACAATATTTTGTATGTCTAATAAATAAAAGTGTGTGGCAACTATTAGCTTTGTTATTGAACATTTGGTTGGTTCAGCAGTTGTTTAGGCTCTTAACCCCCTGACGTCAGGTGGGGAGGGGGTTGGATCTTTCATGGGGTTGTATCTGTGACAGGTTAGTCTGACCTATTGAATGACCTATTGGCATGTTCGCAATGTACTGTAGCAAGACAAGGTGTAATTCTCAAGCAGCGGAGAAAGTTGCATTTTGCCGATTTACAAAATTATAACAAAAGTAAACATTTTGATACTTTCTTTGGCTTGTGAGAAGCATTTTACAAATCTTAACCTCATTGTAACTATCCTTACTAATATAATATATTAAAAGCCTCTGTGTGACATAGGTTTTTAAATGAAATACAAAATGTTGTAATTTACTTGATACAAGAAGGCCTTAGCATTCTCATGTGTTGTTGGGTATTTCTAGTCTTTGGCATCAGCTATTCCACCTGCAGTTATGGCAAACGTGGCCTCATTTTCTGGCATGTCAGGGCTGAAATGGAACAAAAAAAAGTAGGATAGTCAAAAAACTGTTGTATGCCCATATATAGTCATGATGTGCCTATATATGGTCATGATGTGATGTCATCATGACCATATTTAGGCATGTCACGCTTTTTTGTTAAATAAAATTTTATATCCTGGGCTGGGCTCAACATAGACTTGCCACAAGCTCTAATTTATAGAATTTTCCTAATCCTGGATGTTACTGGTATTAGTGCTTGGAACAAAACTATACTGTTCTGTACAAAGTGGTGTGAATTACTTCATACCAGGGGCGGATCCAGAAATGTCCAAAAGGGAGGGCCGGAAGGGGGGGGCAGAAAGTTGGGCCGATTGAGACAACAGAGTCGTAGGTGGTCCGGGGCATGCCCCCGCGAATTTTTTGTGTTCTAGACGCCTGAACATAACATTTGAGGCATTTTGGGCTATCATTTTTTTCTTTTTCTCTCTTTTTTTCCCCCTTTTTTTTACCTCCCAAAAGGGGGGACCGGGGCCGCCCCCCCTAAATCCGCCCCTGCATACTAACATTGGTTAAATGGCCGCTTACCTGTCATAAATTTTGGCAATTCTTAGTTCTCCTCGTCCTTTCCTTAAGCTGAGGCGAGTTGTTGATGCATGTGCCAGAATATGTCCTCCAATTGGTTTCTTTGGATCAGCTTGGAAACTTAATCAGGAAGAAGATATAAAATGTAAATATTAATTCAAACATGATAATACTTAATTTATATTAAAATGTAATTGTGGCACTCATAACTCTGGAAATATACATGTTCATTATTTTCTTAAAATTGAGAAATACATTCATTTTTGTTAACAAGAAAGGTTATCAAAATTCATACATTTGAAGCAATGTCCAGACCCCTATCTTGTGGCAGTACTTTCTGTTAACGTTTTATTCAATTCAATGACATCACATCATGACCATATATAGGCACATCACGATTATATACGGGCATAAAACAGTTTTGTTTTTTTTGTCAAAAGAAAATTTGATAGCCTGGGCAGAGCTTTAAGACATTAAAAGAATAATCTAGTCAAAGAAATTTGTTAAAGTATATGTAATGCATACCTCATCGTTGCTCCGGGGTCAGATGTCATCTGGTTGGTGATGAATACCGCTACATTGTACTCTATAATGTAGAAACAGCATTGGTTATGGTATATAGAAACAAAAAAGCAACCACTCCTCCAAAGATATAGATACATATAGAACAAAACATGAATTAACGAAACAGAAATTAACATACAAAATTATATTTAAATTTAGTTTGTAATTTTTATTTCATAGTATTATTCAACCTAAATATTTGCTTGGATTGTATATTATTGGATGTTTATTTCAACTAGCTTTTATTACAAAAATTTGAACAAGAAAATGTTATAATATTGAATTTTATTAAACGTTAAGCCAAAAAAATAAGGGTAAAGAAAAAACTATTTTCCTCAATTCTATGCAATGCTACAGTCATTGTATACCCTTACATGTGCCAGCAAAATTAAAGAATTTTTGTACTGTAATAAAACATTTGTAAATCATTGAGAATAGATTTTAATTATTTGATCTGCAACTCTTTGCAAAGCCCTTCCTATCAAATTTTCATTGAAAAAAAACCTGTTGTATGCCCATATATAGTCATGATGTGCCTATATATGGTCATGATGTGATGTCATCATCACCATGTTTTTATCACAAAAAAATTGATAGTCTGCACTGGGGTAAGGTTAACTTTTATGTGATAGTTACAGAAACTTATGTAATTCTTTTTATTTAGCTATTAATTTCTTCTTTTTTTTTATTGACACATGAACAATAAAAACCTAATATACATTTAAAGTTATTACAATGAAGTTATAAAATGTTATTCTACTCTATTTCATTGCATACCTTCTGATATTTTCAGTATTAATTTCTTCTTTTTTTTAATGGCACATAAACAATAAAACCCTTATATACATTTAAAGTCATTACAATGAAATCATAAAATGTTATTCTACTGTATTTTATTGCATACCTTCTGATATATTTTAGAATTAATTTCTTCTTTTTTTAATGGCACATTTAAATACCTTAAATATACATTTAAAGTTATTACAGTGAAATCATATTAATGTTATTCTACTGTATTTCATTGCAAATATTCTGTATTTTCAGTATTAATTTCGTCTTTTTTTTAATGGCACATAAAAAATGAAAACCTAATATACATTTAAATTTATTACAATTAAGTCGTAAAATGTTATTGTATTGTGTTATATCATTGCATACCTTCTGATATTTTTTGAATTTTCGATAGTAACTGTGCCAGTTTCTGTTGCCTGTCTGCTAATTCACCACGACCACTGAAGTCAACACGAAACAGTGCCATGATAGAATCAATAATCTAATAAATTGGTAAAAAAATTAATTATCAATAAATTATAAAACTATTAGTGTATGAGGTGTGGAAGATTTTGTACCCAAACTCATATTATGCTGGTGGGTGGCATATTTTCTGTGGGTTGATTTTAAGTCCATATATCTCTAAGCACATGGTGTCCTGTAAATATTTCTACACAATAGTATAAGTGTTTAACTATTGCCACCATACTCGTATCAAAATTGCAGCAAATATCCTGATTAAATGGATGCAATAACTCTGTACTATGAAGATGGAAGACTAAAGTTTATTGTGTAGTGCCTATGTCACGCCCATGACAGAGACATGTATCACTCACAAGTGGTGGGGCGTCCATGTGCGTAGTCCTGGCGGGGTCAGCGAAACCGCCGAAGTGGGGAGGGGGTGTTAAGCATTAGATTTGTTTAGCGTCGTTTTTTTCTTTTATATTTTTGTGGGGGGGGGCATTCAAATTTGGTTCTAGAGGGGGTGTTTATTCGAGGAGAATTTATTCGAAGTGGTGTGTTATTTGAATAAATACGGTATATGAAAATTACTTTCAGAAATCAAAACAAAACAGAAATAAGAGTTCAGAGGAATCCTGATTGTATTTGACCTAACATCATGCCATCCATGTGTCTACTTACTTGTATATGCTCTTGCATACAAGACATTGTCAAGCATTGCACCATGGTCCAAGTTGTAACGATCTGCAATGTCTCGCAGTCTATCTGGACGACTGCAATTACATTAAGAAATATAAATAACCATAATTTTTTCTTGGTGGTTGTTACAGAGCAGCAGTCTCTGGGGAGCCTTAAGGAGCACAATGATGTATTGCATGGGTGTGGGCTCCCCCTCCCCCCTCAAGCCAAAGCCAGCCTAGGCCCTCTGTATCTATGCATTTTGATTTTAAACTTGTAGAGCAAAAAATATACAAGGTGTTTTCTGTGTCAATGAAGATGACTTTACATCCAGTGTACACATGCACCCCTCAGACCAAAACAAACCTAGGCCCCCTGTATCTATGCATTTTTATTGATAACTTGAAGAGCACTGGATACAAGGTGTTCTGTGTCAATGAAGATGACTTTACCCCCAGTATACACATGTACCCCCTAGACTGAAACAAACCTAGGCCCTATATCTACTGTATGCATTTTCAATAATTAATTGTAGAGCAAAAAGGATACAAGGTGTTCTCTGTGTCAATGAAGATGACTTTACCCCCAGTGTAACCATTAGCCCCTGGTAGCTGAGTGGTGACACAGAGTGTATGGGAGATCTGTGTTTTACCAGTGCGGAACTCTGTCAAATAAAAAAAATAAAAAAACAACTGATATTTTTAATAATATGCTACTAATGTTTGATAACATTTCTTTCTCTGGAAAATAAATCACTAATAATGACCATTCAAATTGAAAGTGTTGCTTTCTCTAAACCAGTGGTTGGATTGAATGGGGAAAGAGTTAGTTGTCTGGTCATCACCTAAAAAGAAAAATCTATGGTTTTTTTAATGGGAAATATTCTAATTACATTTCAACTTGCCTAAGTAAAATCCAAAATGGCATTAAAATATTGTTTGACTTAAATTTCTTATTTACAGATCTCTATTTAATGGAAAACACAACAATTTGGCATGTAAAATAAAACCGACTTCGAAATTATTTGAGTGTAGCAGAGTCAACTTAGGCAAGTTTAACTGTACTAATTAAATTGGGTGGAAAAAATTAATCATCACCATCTACATAAAAATGTATTGATTTATCATTTATCACAAGATACCAATTTTTGGTTTTCTTTCTAAATTGTATCATTTAATAACAAAAGTATTTACCTCCAAAAGCCTCAGTTATTGACATACTCTCTATTCCACCACCAAGAAGCTTACTGATAATAAAAATAAATATATGTTTTACTTAGGACATAAAATGTTTGGGAATAAATACATTTTGTTTAAGAATGTATTGACAAATTTATTTTTTATGTAGTAAGGTTTACTGCCATCATCACAATGAGCCACAAAAAAGTAGTTTGTCTGTTTGTGAAAACCAAAAACATATTTACATTTTATCATTTCATATTTTCACCAAGGGTCACAAACAGTACTACTGCATAGTTTGTGTGTATGTTGTTCTCCTCTGTCAAAAGAAAATATATGACTTTTTGGTGAGGTCAACACTTTATGATATCAGTTGTAAGTATCAAACTCCATCAAACATTTCTGAGGGGTAGACTTACTCCATCTCCGTACTGCCTGTAGTAATTTTGAATACATTCTTGCGACGAATGCTAAATGATAGGGCAGTCTCAAATCCTGGATCCTAACAAACACAAAAACCTCTGAGTGAATGTTAGATTAAAAAAGGAGTTTCAATGAAACGTTAGAATTTCAAGTATTGTTTAGCATCAAATTTCTAATAATAACCCATTGCTCTATTAGTAATTCCCTTCTAATAAGTCAATCTATAAGAAGCCACTACTATAATAGTAACCCATGGTGTTACTATTAGAGTCACTAAAACTATAGACAAAATGACATTCAAATCAACATTTTTGTTACCTTAAGGCATGATTTATTCCTTAAAATAGGCAAACAATGTAATTGCTCTGTTGATCCTTTCATGAATTTATAAATCAAATTAAATCAGTTTTTTTACACGTAATTATCTATTTCTATGAATTGCTGACTCAAAAAGCTGGGAGTGGGTAGGGGTTTACTATTTTCAAGTGCCTACAATTAAGCTTAGCAATAGTAACCCACTACTGTAATTGTAACCCACCATAAAAAATCCAATAATCAATGTACCCAGGGTTATTATTAGAAGTTTTACGCCAGGTATCTATAAGTGCAATGCCCCATAGTATAGTATCAGGGCATTCTGCATATGTCATTGGGGCAATGCAATTGGAAGCCACACAATATACAGCATGATCTTTCCCTGCCCCCCCCCCACCCTCCCCACCCCCTTTACCTACAAAAGATGGATAATATATCTCTCTCACTGATAGGTATAATCTCCTGAAAATAAATCTATATTATTCTTGGGTACTCACATCCAGTTTAGTGGCTGCTTCCTTTATTTTCTCCATTTTAGCTTCAGAAATTCCTTTGATGTCACATAAACGCTTTCTGGTTGTCATCCGAATTCCCTATCAGATAATGAAAGTAATCAATTTAGTTATATAAGAATATGTAACAACATTATTTTCATACTATAAAACCTATAAATATTTCTCACTCTATTTTTTACTGCCACATTAAATTTCATATTTTGAATAAATCAAAATTTAATTAAAATCAAAAGATCAACATTCATACTTTCTTGACAGTAATTGTACATTGTTTTATTTTTTCATTTCCCAAAATATGAATGAGAATATAGCTTTTGAGCCTATTATTTTATGTTGTATTAATTTTTAGAAAATCCTGTAATGCCTCTCTTACTAAATGTCCCCACACCCTATGTTATCTTTGAAATTCAATGCTATAGGATATTTATTTAAAGAAAAAATTGTATGCCAATTTGAGTCAGTTTTGTAGCTGTAAAGACTAAAGTCACCCTCGTAAAAAAAACTTTAATAAAACAAATGAATTTATTTGCATCCATAAATAATATCAAGAAAAATACCTTAATAGTACAAATTCCTGAACTTTTCAGCTTCTTGATGTCAGCAGCATTCTAAAAATGCAAAGAAGATTTTCATGATTACAAACACTGTATAAATGAAATTAATTTAAATTAATAAATGCTTCACTTCACTTACAGTACAAAAATTAAAAGCAAAAATAAAAAAATAAATATTTCAAAGAAATACTATCTAATACATGGTGGTACTAATTATCATACTTACAATTCCATGATTTTGAAGCAAATCAATATCTTGAAAAAATGATTCCTAGAATTCAAGATAAAATCAAACCAAGAATGTTAGTGACGCTTTTGTGTAGGATAGACAAGAAATCAGCTTAAATCTAAAAAAGAGAATACAAACTGCTAGGCCTAGGCCCTACTAGGGCCTAGTCACTCACATCTTCGTCTTCTTCGTCATTGATAACTTCCTCCTCTACAACTTGATCTCCCATCATATTGCTGTCAATCATCTTGATATCTGTGATTAGGGAAATGAGTTTTGAAAATAATTCATACTACCTACTACCGAATAAAATTCTCCCTTTCCCTAGTCTAGGCATAGGCCAGATGAACCCAGCTAGCTAGTCTATTGTTGGACTGTCCCCTCCACCAACAACCCACACACCTAGGCCTGTTAGTGTACCCATCTTTCATGCATGATTGACCCTGAACAGTGGATGTTGATATCGCGCAAGGGCCTAGCGGATGTTCACTAACTTATCCTGAACCAGCAGCATGAACTTCTCAATAATATATTAATAATAGGCCCTAGGCTAGGCCTAGAACTTCTGACAGGATTGATCAGATCTGACAGAAAGTACCGTAAGCCTACATTCATCTATTATTACAATAGAAAAATATATGCATACAATATACTGCAAAAAATAAACACGTCTTAGTATCTTACCTTTAAATTTCTAAATGCACATTGGCGCGTTACATTAAAGCCCAGCCCCCGGAAATGCCTAATTCGTCTGCGCACGCACGCACATGCGCCGGGAACGCGTGCTTCCTGCGAAAACCACCGGACCATAAAATCTGGGGAAACAAAAATAATATGAATAAGTTGAACATGTAAGTTAAGCTTTCGACTATTTGCAATTTAGATTAGGTCTAAAAAAATGTAGGATTTCACATCATTTTTTGCCCTATTATTTGTCCGACGGAATGAACTTTCCAGTCCCGTTTTTTTGTTTTTTATTTTTGTTTTTGTTTTTTTTTTTGCAAAAAAGTAGCAATCGATCATAATATCAAAAATATAAATTATTATTTTCTGTTCATCATGATGTTGGGTGAAGTTAAAACATTTTTAATAGGCCTAGCTTGACAGACAGACACGCCGAAGAAGCAGAACAGATATACGTTTTTGGGTAACAAAAAGAAATAAATACTTTGTAAAATGTCATTGTTGACATAAATATTAAAGTATAACTGACCGTAAATTACCAAAAAAATATATTTAAAAATCAATTAAATTTGGAATTACTAAATTTTGTACAATTTAATTAATTTCTACATTTTTTTTCAAACTTTCCCTAATAATAGTGAAAAACATATCTTGTAAAAAAAAGGAGGATTTGCATTTATATTATATTTGTTATTTCTATTTAATAAGAATTGTAGCCTATTAAAAAAGAGTATTCTTTGGACACAATAAACGAAATAATTTTGTATAACATTGTTGACATATTATACCCTATGGGGAGTTGGATATGGAAAGGGAGGTGTGGGGTGGAGGGGAGTTGGGGTTGTTATGGAGGCATAATCATTGACTCTATTGTTTTGTGTCTGATAAAATGTTCATACATATTGCAAATCACCGCGACCGTCATTGCCATGGAAACATCTCATCATCATCATCATCATCATCCGGGAGAGGCATCATTGGGGGAGTGGGGTTGGAGGTGCCAGAGTCTCCAATGGTCGGGGAGAGTTCCCCCGGCCCCAAGTCGGGAGAAAACCACATATTGTCGGGGAGAAAGAAATATAAAATCGATTAAATGAGCATTGAAACCTCTATTGTCAATTACAATTTTGGATCATTATCATATAATAATGTAACATATTCATATTATCACTCAAATGGAATTTACTCTTTTTATCAATTTCATTCTAACTCCTTGTTAAATTCGTGATGGTCCACAAGTCCGCCACCACCATGTAACCACGCCTCATTAAAAGTTTAATCACATGATCAACAGGATTCTAGTCCAGGTGACCCGGAAACTATTGTTATGTATATGTCACCAAAGAATGTTTTGATCTTGCGTTTTGTGGTCAGCTGCGGTTTACTTTGTTTAGATAGTGGACGAGGAACGAGACTACAAATGAAACAATTTAACTTTGTTTCCGCGAAGAAACTTTATGTGAAACAAACTTATCATAGCTTTTAGTTGCCTGGTTTCAAAGTATGAGCCTCCAGAGCTGCCCACATTTGGGCACTTTTAAGGCGAACAAAGGAACAAGGCCCTACTCAATCATCCACAGATATTTCGTTGCATGCTCCTCTGCCGAAGCTCGGGAAAGAAAGGTAGCTAAAGAGGCTCAGCCAGGCTAGTGAAGTCGAGCGTATAACAAAAGAAATCTTTATTGGATCTAGTTGTACGGAAGCATGTAGTGTGCACTAATAATATAATTGACCATAAGTCTGTTTATGTCTGTGTATAATCATTGTTAATATCTTTATGTTAACCATGCATTTTTGTTTACTTTATAATTCGTTTGATGGGTGATTCTAGACTGCCTAGGCCTAACCTAACTAAGAAGCCTAACCCGATCAGGAGCCTTAGTGATAGTATGTATGTGCTAGGCCTGGGCTTGAACAGGTGGGCCATAAGCTGTCAAACGCCACTTGTTAGGACTGTAGATAAAAATTGAGGCCTAGCCAGTTAGTAGAGTAAAATAAGAGTGTGTGTAGGTAACACCTAGGGCTTGTAAAATTTGAATGAGTTCATATAAATATACACCTTCCAAAATTTATTTTTATTGTAATGAAAAATGTTTTTTGGGTTTTTGCTGGGGAAAACCAGGTCCGGACCATGGGATACTGTATTGTTTAGTATTTAAAATAAATCACTGAATAATCAAATATAAATAAGTTAGCAGAATCACTAATATGATTGAGAAGTTAATGGTGAAAATGTAAAGAGAGTATACACAAAATGTCTTTAATTAAAAGTGCATGCAAAAGTTGAACCATATATTTTTAAAATGATGATGTCAGATTTATACATTTTTTGCTTCAGTCTCGTTCTCAGACTAGCAAAGCTCGAACAACATTAAACCTTGTTTAAAAAAAATAATTTTTATTGTTAATTTCTATTTCATTTTTGCCTCCTTTTTGAATTCTATGCATGTTGCTTATCGGTCAAATAAATAAAATCATACTTTGTTTTTCTCTTTTAAAAGGCAAAGGTTTGGAAGTGCAACACATGCCACCGCCATGACGGAAGGCTACACGCCTGCCTTCAATGTATCTTTTTTGGTTGCTACAACAGAGGTCACATTCACGATCATGCAAAATTGAAGCAACATAATCTTGGTTAGAAAGAAGGATTTTATAACAACAAGATAGCGCTTTCCGTGATTCTACGCGTAACAAATAGAAGCGTCCATGTACGGTAAAAAGAAGCATAAAAAGTCAATGAGAGAGGGCGTCCTAGTCGTTACCATGGTTGTTACACAATTTGCACTAAGAAATCGCGGAATGCGCTATCTTTAGTTAAAGGTCATTAATGTCAAAGTTAAAAAAATGATTGTAAATTCTAGAGGGCGTCCTACACTGCATTGTTACAGAATTTGCACGCAGAGGACACTGTCTTGTTATTATGATCTTTAGTAAGAAGCAGTAAATGATTATAGTGTAGTAGTATAAAAATTCTGATAATTACAATAAATATCTTGCATTGTTATTTCATTTCATTTTATTTATGTCATCACTTGATATAAATACAATATTTTAAAAACAATACATAAAGCAAGACAATTCAGGTGCCAATAGCAAAATTAATTTCTTTCTATGTGGCTCTCTAATCCCCATCCAACAAAATAGAATACAAATAATTATGTGTATATACAGTACAATTTATAAAATATTTTATTTACCTGGTTTGTTTTTGTTTTTGTTTTTTTTTTCTACAGCTGTTGATTTAGCCTATGGTGCTGTATATTGTTATTTATGTGGGGACTACATATATGACCAGGATTTAGAAGAAGCTCGAAAAGAAATTAAATTGAAAGGTTAGTATCAAGATGTGCACGTCAGTAATATACAATATTCATCCACTAATTTATTCATGTATTTTTATATTCATTTTTTCTCATTCATTCATTCATTTATTGCCAATTACATATATACAAGTTGACTAGGCTTGACAAACAATAGGTAAAGGTAAGCTAAAGGTGAATAACTCGTAGCGTCATTGTACTGACTTGCTTATGGGCGCGGTGTGGACTACCTAGTCACCGTAAAAAGGCGATTATAGTACATACATATTCACATCATTCCACATCATTTCTGGGGCTTAAATGAACCCATAGTATCGGGATAACCCCCGCCCTATAGTGAAAGGGACAGCCCTTAAGGATCACAGGGCAGTATGACTTACAAAGTGAGGGACAGCATTCAAAGATGATAATAATTATCAACTTTAATTATCACCAATGGCGGTGTTTCCCCACGCTAAAGTTAATATTTAAAATAAGGGACTGTAATATTCACAAGGACTTCAGATAAAAGAATGCAAGATTAATTCCACCTATCTGAGAATGATCAAGTCTTAGTTGTTTAATATTAATTTTCATCTGTGAAAAATTAAAATACATGTCTCTCCCCAAAGACAACTTCTGGGACCGGGGTTTCCATTGCCTTTAGCAGCTTTGGTCTCTAATTAGAATAATAAAGATAAAAGGAATTTGTTAATTTGGGACCACTGAAAAGTGGTCTTTAATTGGAGGTGGTTTTTAATTGGAGAGGTCTTTAATTAGAGGGAGACCTGTAACAGATTTTAATTTAATTAGTTTTTTCAGCCCTGTCAAAAAAAAACGGATAACAGCATAAGTATACTGCAGAAACGAAGTCAAAATTACTGTTCTCGGACAAGGTGCTATTAGTCCATTGGTCCCCTGTCAACACAGTACTTTGCATGCTTGTCAAATGAAATTAACTGAAGTGAAAGCTAATTTATATCATTTTCTACACAAAATTGCACATTCCATTTTACAAAGGAATTTCACTGCCACAGCATAGAGTGAATCTGCGCAAGTTCAGAATACTCAATAACTTGCCCCTTTGGAAGTTTCCTACACTAGCCCATGGATATATAGATCACCACTTTCTGAACTAAAACTTACACCCAATTTAACAAAACTCCACTACGTCTTGAACCATTATTGTGCTCTTAGTTAATCTTGAAGGTGTTTGTTTATGAATAATTAACTGTATTTTTTATCTAGGTTCGTCTAACCATTTAAGTATAAAGAAATTTTCCTTCTGGGAAGCATCAGAACGAGAAGTTGACTTGTTACTTCGAAATCCAAAGCGAAGGAAAATTACAGATAATTCAACAATAGGTAAGCAGGAAATGGACAGGTAGTTCAACCATAAGGTGTTATAGTATACAAATATTGACTGCTCATGAGGGGAATGGTGAAATCTATAGATCGTAGCCTATCTTCCTGAGGGAGGGAAGATAGGCTACGGTCTCCGCATCTATAGATTTCACCGTTCCCCAAATCTAGAGCAGTCAAAATTTGTTTTATATACCTCATACATAGATTCTACGAGACATAAAAAAGTAATGAAAATAGTACACACCATTTAGGCCTAGGTTTGCTTCCTAGGCCTAGGCAATCAAAGGGCCAATCTCTTATAATTACACAGCAACGCGGCCTAGAGATTGCACATCGTGTATCAGGGCAAAAAAGTACTATTTTTGAGGAGAATACTACTTTCTATTGGACGCATCTTAACCGATCAGATGCCTAGAATCTATGTATTGTATGAGGTATGTAATATATTATAATATTTAAGTATTGAAATATTTTCATCCAGTTAGAATATAATATTGTAAATCAAATTTGTTTTTTCTAAACCACAATAAATTACACATACTCGCGACGTTCGTGTGCTGTCAGCAATGATCTGTTGATGTTGTCGGTTCCAGTCGCTAGGTGGTGTGGGACCTCTACTGTTGGTTCATGGAAAACCACAGGCACAGTGCACCGACAGTAGAGGTCGCCCTCCACCTAGTGACTGGAACTGAAAACATCAACAGTTCATTGCCTGATGAAGTGTATGTGACATCATACGCAATGTCGCAAGTACGTATAATTTATTGTGGTTTAAAAAAAAGAAAATTTGATTTTACAACATAATATTTATAGTAACTAACAATAGTAATAAATCAGATTTGCATGGCACTTGTACTGATTATAAGGAAATTCTCAAAGCACTTGAGAAAAAAAAAATACAACAAAGTGTACATTAGTTACTTGAAAACACTTCCATAGTGGATAAACAGAGCGGATCTTCATTGAAAACAAACAGTCAGGGACACCTTGTCGAATTGTGGTCTGCATAGCATACACGCATGCAGCAGGCTTCAGAGAAAACACTCTATTTTTTGCATTAACCAGGGACGGGCCTAAAGATGGGTTTGAGGGCCAAAGAAAATTTATTTAATACCGACAGCCGCACCCAAACTATGACATTTCAATGTGCTTCCAAAAATTTTAATGCAACGCTTCTATACTAATTTATGCACAGTTTTAATATATTTTACAAATGATAGGTGTCTGGCTATAAAAAACAATGTATTTTCTATTCAAAGATGATTGTTGGGCCACACATGGGGTTTTTATTTCATTTATTGCGGCTCACAAAAAATCACTGTCGTGCCACATACGCCCCATGTACCGCACTTTGCCTACCTTTGATACAGACATCCAATATACCAAGTAACTTTATACTTTGTTTCTTGTAGGTCTTCTTGGTCTAATCAATTTAGGCAATACATGTTTCATGAACTGTATTGTGCAGGCCTTGACACACACGCCGCTACTAAGGGATTACTTCCTGTCTGATCGGCACCAGTGTCAAATGCTGGAGCATGGACAGTGTCTAGTATGTGAGATGTCAACATTATTCCAAGAGGTAAAAAATTGCTGTAAGATTTTCACATGCAGCTGTCTGTCTAGGGCCGATTGCAACGTATCATATAATTAATTTTACATACCATAAACCAAACCCTTATTCATAATTGAAACTAGGCCTGGTGAGGACTCCAATTAAAAAATATATTTGTATGATATTAAAGTGAAATTAAGTAAAACTATCACGTAATACATGGCTTGTTATTGCATACTCATGAATTTTTTTTTGTAAAAATTAAATGATAAAACACATGGTGAAGCCCTTCCAAAAAGAGTTATGTAAACAAACTAGCATTTTTAGTCATAAGGAGAGGAACTTATAATAGTTAATCAATATGAATGTTTCATTTAATACTTATATTTGCTGGTATAAACATTTTTCATTGCCTATTCTAGGCCTAGTCTTCATTTTTTGGTCCAAGACCTTGATCTTGATTGGAAATCTACCAATTTGTTTCCAATAATGTATCATATCATACTATCGGTATATCATAGTATGTTCATCATATTTTCATATGATTTAATTTTTTTTTATTGTAAAAATATCAGTAATGAAATATCATACATCAATACCTAAAATGTTTCTTATTCACTAGTCACATTGTGAGTAACAAGTGATGTTTTTCCTCTCAGTTTTACTCAGGTCGACGCCATGTACACATTCCATATCGTCTATTGCATTTAGTTTGGACCCACGCTAGACACCTTGCAGGCTACGAGCAGCAAGATGCTCATGAATTTTTTATTGCAGCATTAGATGTTCTGCATAGGCACTGTAAAGGTAAATCATGAGGCCATCAAACCAAAGTATTAAAACTATTTTAATACTTTGTGATTATTGAGGATAAAGAGTACAGCACTAGTATCTTCACAACACTAGGTGGCACCCTTTGTTGTCAACCAGACGTTGGTAAAGCGGTTGGTACGCCTAAATGACTTCATAATTTTAATGGTTTAGAATAGGCTTTCTGGAATAGGCATTTTAAAACCTAATAATTTACTATCAAAATTTACTAAAAACACAAAAGCTCTCATTATATTAGTTATCAAAACATATATATTTAATCATCAATTAAGATTTACAAAGAAAAAATAACATACATCATCATAATAATTACATTAGAAATTGGTATCAATGGTTTGTTAGTGGAGATAATGGATCCGTTGGACCGCATTTTGGGTCGCTGATAGCAACGGAGTAGTATCACATGGTATCATGATATAACAGCATAGAACTCTATATCTAGCAACATTTTTTCAGTAGTGTTACACACCACTTCATATCATATCTGCCGTGTATACTCTTTAGGCTACAGAGAATCAACATCGGTATGTGAGGGCGTATCTCATTTGTGAAGGCGTAATCAGTCTGGATTAAATGTTGATAGCTTTACAGAATGATGTACAGGTTCATTCTTTATCCTCAATGATCACTAAGTATTACAATAGTTTGATGTCGAGTCAAGTGGCCACAAGCGGTAAAGATAAGGACTTAAAATGGAGGCCCAGTGTATACATAATGAACCCATTAATCTTCCGGAAGAGTAGGGGTGTTACCCCGATGTTGTGTTTCATTTCAGCCCCTGTCATTGTAAAATGATGTGAACATGCAGCTACTACAAAACTCCTCCTTTTTTTTTTCGGGTGCTAGGTAGTGTTGGACCACGCCCATACGCAATTCAGCAAAATGACCCTGCAATTTATGGGTTATTCTCCTACCTTTACCTTTAATACAACTAAATATAAGGATCTTCCTTACAAGGGCTATGCATGATACAATTATAACATCATGTTCTTATATTTAACTACTGTCTCTACTCTTATGTATATTTTGTGCTTGTGTTTTTTCTAGGTCACAATGGTGTGCGAAGTAGTAACCCTAGTAACTGTAACTGTATTATAGACCAAATCTTTACTGGTGGCCTCCAGTCAGATGTTACCTGCCAAGTGTGCAGGTAAGAAGCTCATTATATTCTGGATTTTGTTTTAGATAAAACAGTAACCACAGCAGTAGTGATTATGGCTCAAGAAAACAAAAGAGCATTATATATTAATCCTGCTAAATATACAACGTATATAGAAATCTTTTTTTTATTCCTTACTGAAAACATGACGTTTTTTAGATTGAACTTTATGTGAAAAATTTTGAGTATTTTTTTTTATAACACAGAAACTTGGCTCAATTAACAATTCCATTAATTTGATAGTCCACATGTTTCTGTGTATGTCTTTTTATTTTCATGCTCATATTTGTGGTCATGTTCTAATTCATCACTCTTTTAAAAAATTTCACTAGTTGAACTTTTAATAATTGATGTAATATTTCTATCTATAGGGGTATATCTACGACAGTGGATCCGTTCTGGGACATATCCTTAGATCTTGGACCATCTGGAAGCCACTTTTTAAATCAATCTGAGAATATATCTGTGATTTCTAACGACAGTAACTCTTCTGGTGGGATTAGCTATTTTTTTTTTTTTATTAAAAAGAAATAAATATGATTATATGATTATTATTATTATATGGTTATGATGGTGAAGTTGCTGTTGACTGATAGTTGTGTTAGTGGTGATAATTATGGAGTTTTGCATTTTAAATGCTTCAATAAATTATCACTTTGTGTCAGAGGGTGAAGCCAGCTGCTCTCATCGGGGAGAAATCCACAATTCGTTGGGGAGAAAATACATGTATTTTCTACATTATTAGTACATCCAAAAACTGATTAAATATGCCTTTGATACCCCTAAATTGTCATATTTTTCGGGGCTTTACCCCCAAACACTTTTGAGAGATTTTAAGCTTTCGATTGTTGCTTGATGGTTAAAAATCTTGCCTTCCAGTTACAAACCCAAGAAAAGATGAAAACCTAGATTATTTTCCCAACTAGAATATAATTCATTTCCTAAGCCTTATAAGGAAATGGTGAGCTATAATCTATATATTTCACACGGAGACCATCCTGTAATAAACTGTTTCCAAACCCCACAGATCCCACCCCTTCATTATTGTTGCAGCGGTCCCACAAAACAACAGTGTGCGCATATGTGTTTGTGGGACATATGTGTATTCGTGGTCCTAACTTATCTATTCTGAAAATGTTCTGCCTCCCTCCCCTGTTTATAAAATTCTGGATGGATCCGCCACTGGTGCTATGCTGTTCATTAAATTTAACTTTACCTATGCAGGTTCTAGCTGTAACAGCAATGAAAATATAACCAATCTATTATCACCGACTGGCTTTGAAGATGTTCCAACCTCTCTAGATGATTGTCTACGAAGGTAAGCTTTTTGTACCTCTGTTAGTGCTTTATCTAGGAGAGTGTGCACTCACCCCATGTCACGCCCCACCTCCAGTCGCCCCCTAAAAATCACGCTCAAATAGTTAAAAATCGCCTTAATCAATCAATCAATCAATAAATCTTTAATAATCCCACATGGGGCAATTCAAATCAGGTCGACATTACAAGCATCATAAAAACATGACATTAAAAATATACAATGAAAAAAAAGAATTGTTGATTTTTAAAAGTATAAGAAGTAGCTTTTTAAAAGTATTCTAAAAATAAGTAGATTTTTAAAAGTATAAGAAGTAAAAAGAAGTAGATTTTTAAAAGTATAAGAAGGAGTCGAACGGCAACGTGTAGGAACGAATTTCTACATCTATTTGTTTTATTTGAGAGTCAACACCTCCCACCCCACCCCGTTCCCATGTGACCTTTGTGCTCTTAAATGCCACTGGCCTCTGTTAAATTTGATTGAAAATATTATTTGGCAAGTTCATTTTAGAACATTAGCAGACCAATTCCTAAGTTGAATTTTCATGCAATTTAGAATAGTTTATTCTGTGTTTCAACCAATAAACCAACTCCATAGATCATTCCATTCTGTAATCAGCTTGCAAATTGTAATGCTTGCTGCTATGCCGACCACACACACTGCGTCTAACGATCCAATGGAGAATGCTATGCCACAACACACATGCAACTGTTAATTTTTAATGACGATCCGTTCATACTGCCATTGAAAATCAGACGGCGTGACAGCACCTATCGCTCACATTGAGTGAAGCTGGATTTGTTGTACGACGGTCGTAAAACACACTGTGTCGTATGACACAGTGAGGGCAAAGCTATTAAAGTATTTATAGTGCTATTTTGTTTTTTCTTTACAGATTTACTCGTGCAGAGCATCTAGGAAGTAGTGCTAAAATCAAGTGCAACTCTTGCCAAAGCTACGAGGAATCAACCAAACAGTTAACGATGAAGAAGCTTCCAATTGTCGCGTGTTTCCATCTTAAGGTATGTTCTAATTTACTGCCACTAATTTACTGACGACACACTCTTCTTCTCCCGGATGGCTGGCCAAACTTCACAGTTGAAGGCTCCAGGCCCCGAGACATATGTGGACATTCTTACAACTTCTCCTGAAGGGTTCTGTCGTGTCATGCGCAGGCCAAGCAAGTGCACTGTCTGGCTCGCAGTGGCAGGGGCTGTAAGATGGACCAGTACACAAGCCGGGGTAATCCCTTACTCATCTCTAAAGATGTGCTGGGTTCTTTAAAGTGCACATGAGCCAATTGTGTACACTGGGCCTATAGTTTATAGTCCTTATCCGAGAAAACTTGTTCCACCACAAGAACCATAGGCGAGCGTGCCATTCAAACCAGCGCCAATATTAGGGCTGTAGGTTGTGGCTCCCCCGCCTTAACCACTTGGCCATTCGACTCAATTACTGTTGAAAATAAACTGTGGTACTGTATCCAACATTCCTAGATTGTGTTTGCACAAGAAAAATTTATTCAGTTTTGTTTTTGAGAGCTTGGGTGTTCTTGTCCTTTTAAATTTGATGTGTTGATGTAATGGACGTGGTTTTTTTCGTTGGTCTATGGGATTCTATGGAAAACGCAATGCCACAACGCACACGCAATGGATAACTGTAACGATGACGAGTTCAGGCTGCAGACGGTGTCGCTTAGTCTAGCGCTCACAGGAATTGGATTTGGATTCGCTGTGAGGGTTTGCCTGGCTTAACCCTTAGATATTGTTTTAAGCTTCTGTGATATTGATTCTTGACATTAGCATCTTGTCTTTCAAATAAAATCCCACCCACCTTTAAGATGTCTACCACCCTCCCCTAGTTTTCTACTGCTACAACACCTGATTTTGCTAACTTAGTGAGTTGATCCAAATTACAATGAATAATAAAAAAAAAAATTATTTTCTTCCAGAGATTTGAACACAGCACTCGTTCACGAAAGAAGATAAGCACCTTCATATCATTCCCACACGAACTGGACATGACTCCATATATGTCCTCACATCGCCGTGCCAACGGTCAACGTAGTAATATTAGGACTAGTTTGGGACTACAGCAAACAAACAACAAGTAAGTCCTTCATCGTTTTATGTCAGCATTGAAATCATCACCATTAACATCATCACAGTATCATATCTTTTCAATATTA